AAGAGCGCGGCAGAAGCCAGGCGATAACATAAAAGAAATCGCCTTTGGCCTTGCAGCGCCAGTAAATCCGAGCAGGCGCAAAATACACGCACGAACACTTGCCCACACACAAACCGCGAAAAAGAGGAAAGACACACAGAAGTCAGGGCCAGAGAGACAAAGAGAATGGGAGGGACGCAGACACACACCTGATCACGGGAGCATGGCTGGCACAAGCACCCAGCCCCGCAGGGCACAGCCTGAGGCTGCAGGCTTCTCCGGGAGTGAGCCCTCGGGGGAAAGCAGCCAGGAGACCCAGGCGAGGCAGACCTGTAATTGCAGAATCCAGAGGCAAGACTTTGGGGGAGCTCACCCCAGCACCGTCCCAGCGGCGGGCAAGAGCCTGAGGCTGGGGCAGCCTTGTGCCCAGCTTCCCCGAGACTCGCCTGCGGTTTGGTCGCCCTATGGCGTGGCGTTGCGACTCGGCGTCCGTCCGAGGAAGACGTTCCGTGCGACCCCGTGGAAGGTGAGGCAGGAGCCTCGCAGCCCGACACCCGAGCACCGCCCGGAGGAGCTCCCTGCTTTGCCAAGCCTCAGGGCGGTTTCAGACAACGGTAGGGAACCGCTGTGGCGAGAGGCCGCTCGCGCCTCCCGAGCATGCGCCTGGTCCTGCCGCGCCGGAGCCCACTCGCGCTCCCAGCTGGGGAGTCAGGCGCGGCCCCCAAACAACACCCCGCGCGGCTGCGGGCGCGGGAGCCGGGGAAGAAAGGGTGGTGGGAGAAACGATGTTCAATGCGCTGACTGATAGGAGGGCAAGGAGCAGCGAGGTGAGGAGTGGGGAGGTGGGTGGCAGGCCGCTGGGGCGCCGCTGCAGCCCCAGCGGCGCCGCCCGATCCGAGCTCCAGCAGGCGCGTGGGAGAAGGCGCCCTTGAGCATCATTACCAGACCCCGGAGTCTGTCTTCCAGGACCTCCCAGGCCGGCTCCACCACGTGGAGGGCTTCCAGGGCCTCTGCTGGGGTCTCAGGACTCCTCTTGAGATGGGATTTTGGACCCCTCCGGGTGAAGAGGATGGGCTCTCCATCATGTGGGCTGAGGCAGGGCGGGGCCTCGCTGCAGCACAGAATCATCCCCTGGGCCTTGGCGTGGTGCCAGCCCGAAAATTCCCTGACCCACGAGCCCTCGGCCTCCCTCTCCCCCTCTGAAAAGAGCAGCGGCCTAGCCTTGCAAAAATCCCAGGGTGCAAGCTGCCTCTGCTCCAGGACACGCGTTCCAGGCGGAGCCAATGGCCCCCAGGCGTATACCCAGCCCGATCCCAGGCAGAGCGGCGTGAATGCGCTTCAGCCCGGGGCGTAGGGGCGGCGGCGAAATCAACAGCGCGGAGTCCAGAGCCTGTGCCGGGTGGAAGGGTCGAGGGACCTGTCCCGTGGATTCCAAATCGAAGAAGGCTTGGGATCGGGAGGGCTCCAAGTTTCAGGAGTCAGTCCACCTTGCTCGGAGGAGCAGGGAGCTGTCCCTCAGAACAGGGAAGTGCAGAGGGGGAAGTGCCGCACCGCCTGTCAAGAAGACAAGGCCAGTCACCGTCGCCTACCGCTCTCATGCTAGGCAGGCCATACCCAGCCATGAGGTGAAAAGCGGGGAGAGCAAGACAGCTTCCTGTATCGGAGACGTGTAGAACCAAGAGCTCCAGGGTCATGGAACCTGCCCAAGCAAGCAGAAACAGGTTTGGAGAGAGAACCCAAATCACCACACAGATCTCCGAGGAGTGTCTCCCTGTGGACTGGGAAGTGACCTGCGTCCCAGACATTCAGCCAGACGAGAAGCCTGTAGGCCTCCGAGGGGGCAAGGGAGACAGAGCAAGAGAGGACAGAGCAGAGGCCGGGCCCAGGCCGGATACTGCCGGTGCCACCGCGCGCGGGCCTAAGGAGGAATTTGCCCAACGGCCGCCTTGTCGAGGAGAGGCCAGCGTTCCAGGGACCGGGAGGCCTGACACCTCCCCTTCCCGGCTTCCTCTTCAAGCTTCTGCCGTGGTGCGGCTTCATTTCTCAGAGAAGAGCCGTGAAAAGGTACCAGCGTCTCCTCTGAGGCAGGTCTGCTCTCACCTCTCCTGCAGGGCGACGAAGCTCCTCTGAGGCTTTTGTCCCTGGCTGGACCGTGCTTATCTTGATCCCAGGAGAGAGTCCGCTCGGCAAGGGTAATGAGATTTCCACTGCTGCTGGGGAAGATGCATCTCCTCACGCGGTCGAGGCCCTCAGGGGACCCCAAGTGGAGCGGCGGCCGAAGCACTGTGCGAGAGCCGCCACTTTAGGGCCCAGGCACAGAGGCAGAAGGGCGCGCGGCAGAGCCAGGCCGGCGCAAGAATCGCCTTTGGACGCACCGGGCGCATTCGTCGAGCAGCGCAGCCACGCACGCAGGCACGCACACTGCAAACCGGCGAAAGAGGAAAGACACACAGGGAGTCAGGGTGTGCAGAGAGACAAAGAGAAGGAAGGCCCGGAGAAGCGCGGGACACACACAGTCACAGGGCGCGGCGGCACAAGCGCCCAGCCGCAGGCACACAGCCCCTATGAGGCTGCAGGCTTCTCCGGGTGAGGCCTCCGGGAAGGCAGCCCACGGACAGGCGGGGCGGACCATCCGTGGGAACGGGGGCAAGACTTTTTGGGGAGACTCACCCCAGCACCGTCGGCAGGCCTGAGGCTGGGAGGCGGCGGCGCCGCTTCCCGGTCCCGCCTGCGGTTTGGTCATCCTGGCAATGCGTTGCGACTCCCGGCGTCGTCCGAAGCGTTCCGTCGACCCGTGGAGAGGTGAGGCGGGGGCCTCGCAGCCCCGCTTGCGAACGCACACCGCCACGGAGGGCTCCTGCTGCCAGCCTCAGGGGCCGGTTTCTAAGACAGCCGTGGGAACCGCTGTGGCGCAAGAGGCGCTCGCGCCTCGCACATGCGCCTGGCCACTGCCGCGCAGAGCCACTCGCTCCCAGCTGGAAGTCAGACGCGCCGGCCCTTTGCAAACAACAGCGGCCTGCGGCGGGCGCCAGGAGCCAGGAGGTGGGAAGTAATGCGTTGGGAGCAGGAACAGCGAGTGAGGTGAAAGGTGGGTGGCAGGCCGCTGGGGGCGGCACCCGCAGCCCGGCAGCCTCCCGATCCGGAGCTCCAGCAGGGCGAGGCGTGGGAGAAGGCGCCACGGGCATCCCAGTACCAAGACCCCGGAGTCACTCTTCCAGGAGACCTCCTTGAGGCCGACTTCACCCACACGTGGAGGGCTTCAGGGCACAGGGTCTCAGGACTCACCTCTTGAGATGGGATTTTGGACCCCTCCGGGCCAGAGAGGGATGGGCTCCTCCATCTGCCTTAGGCTGAGGCAGGCGGGGCCTCGCTGCCAGCACAGAATCGCCCCTGGGCCTTAAGGCGTGGTGCCAGCCGAAAATTCCCTGACCCACGAGCCCTCGGCCTCCCTCCTCCTCTGAAAGAGCAGCGGCCTAGCCCCGCTTGCAAAATCCCAGGCTCCTGCAAGCTTCTGCCTCTGCTTTCCAGGACACGCGCAGTTCCCGGCGAGCCAATGACTAGGCGTGGCACTGGCCGACCCCGAGCAGGCGCGTGGGAATGCGCTTCCAGCCCGGGCGTGCGGGCGACGAGCGTGGCAACAGCGGAGTCCAGGCCTGTGCCCGGGTGGAAGAGGGTCCAAGGGACCTGTCCGTGGATTCAGAAGCCGAGAAGAGGCTTGGGATCAGGAGGGCCAAGAAATTTCATCGATCCACCTACCGGAGGAGCAGGGAGAGGAGAGCCTCCTCCAGAGCGAGAGAAGTGCAGAGGGAAGTGCCGCACCGCCTGTCTCCAGAGGAACAGGCGAGGAAGTCACGGTCGCCTGCAAGCTCATGCTAGGCAGGCCACAGCCATGGTGAAGCGGGGAGAAACAAGACAGCTTCCCTGTCGGAGCACGTGTGGGAGCAGCCCAAGAGCTCCAGGGTCATGGAGACCTCCCAAGCAAGCAGAAACGGGTTTGGAGAGAACCAGTGTCACTGGATCTCGGGTGTCTCCCTGACGGACTGGGAAGTGACCTGCGTCCCAGACATTCAGCCAGACCGAGAAGCCTGTAGGCCTCCGGGGGCTGGGGAGCAGGAAACCGAGAGGAGGACAGAGCAGAGGAGCTGAGGCGAGCCGGGATACTGCCAGGAAGGAAGCCTGTAGGCCTCCGAGAGACAGGGGAGACAGAGCAAGAGGGAGGACAGAGCAGAGGCCGGAGCCCAGGCCGGATACTGCCCGGTGCCACCGCCGCGGGCCTAAGGGGAGGGTTGCCCAACGGCCGCCTTGTCCGGAGAGGCCAGCGTTCCAGGGACCGGGAGGCCTGACACCTCCCCTTCCCGGCTTCCTCTTCAAGCTTCTGCCGTGGTGCGGCTTCATTTCTCAGAGAAGAGCCGTGAAAAGGTACCAGCGTCTCCTCTGAGGCGGGTCTGCTCCTCTCCTGCAGGGCGACGAGCTCCTCTGGGGCTTTTGTCCCTGGCTGGACCGTGCTTATCTTGATCCCAGGAGAGAGTCCGCTCGGCAAGGGTAATGAGATTTCCACTGCTGCTGGGGAAGATGCATCTCCTCACGCGGTCGAGGCCCTCAGGGACCCCAAGTGGAACGGCGGCCAAAACCACTGACGAGCCCGCCGCAAGACCCAGGCACAGAGGCAGAAGAAAGAGGCGCGGCAGAGCCAGGCCGAGGCGCAAGAAGTCGCCTTTGGGCGCACCGGGCGCATTCGTCCGAACGGCGCAGCCACGCACACGGGCACGCACACACAAACCGGCAGAAAGAGGGAAAGACACACAGAGAGTCAGGGCCAGAGAGACTAGAGAGAATGGGAGAGACGCAGACACACACAGTCACAGGGCAGCGGCGGCACAGAAACGCAGCCCCCGCAGGCACACAGCCCCCCTGAGGCTGCAGGCTTCTGTTCCGGGGGTGAAGACCCCTCGGGGGAGAGAGCAGCCCACGGACAGGCGGGCGGACCTGTCGTGGAGATCACGGGGGCAAGACTTTTGGGGAGACTCACCCCAACACCGTCCGGGCAGGCCTGAGGCTGGGACGACGCGCCGCTTCCCCCGGACTCCGCCTGCGGTTTGGTCATCCTGGCCGGCGCGTTGCGACTCCCGGCGTCCGTCCGGAGACGTTCCCGTCGACCCCGTGGAGAGGTGAGGCAGGAGCCTCGCAGCCCCGACACCCGAGCACCGCCACGGAGGGCTCCTGCTTTGCCAAGCCTCAGGGGGCCGGTTTCTAAGACAACCGTGGGAACCTCTGTGACGCGAGAGGCCGCTCGCGCCTCGAGCATGCGCACTGGCCCTGCCGCGCCGGGCCCACTCGCGCTCCCCAGCTGGAAGTCAGGCCGCGGCCCCTTTAAACAACCGCGGCTGCGCGGGGCGCCGGGCCGGGGAAGGGGTGGGAGGGGGCGTGTGCGCGGTGGGGCAGGGGGCAGCGGGGTGGGGGGTGGGGGAGGTGGGTGGCGGGCCGCTGGGGGCGGCCGCTGCAGCCCCCGGCGGCCGCCCGATCCGGGCTCCAGCAGGGGGCGGCGTGGGAGAAGGCGCCGCGGGCATCCCAGTACCAAGACCCCCGGAGTCCTGTCTTCAGGACCTCCTTGAGCCGACTTCCACCCGTGGAGGGGGAGCTTCAGGGCCTCTGCTGGGGTCTCAGGACTCCTCTTGAGATAGGATTTTGGACCCCTCCGGGTGAGAGAGGATGGGCTCTCCATCATGGGCTGAGGCAGGCGGGGCCTCGCTGCAGCACAGAATCATCCCCTGGGCCTTAAGGCGTGGTGCCAGCCGAAAATTCCCTGACCCACGAGCCCTCGGCCTCCCTCCCCCTCTGAAAGAGCAGCGGCCTAGCCCCGCTTGCAAAATCCCCGGGGCTCCTGCAAGCTGCCTCTGCTTTCCAGGACACGCGCAGTTCCCCGGCGGAGCCAATGGCCCCAGGCGTGGCACTGGCCGACCCCGAGCAGACGACGTGAATGCGCTTCAGCCCGGGCGTACGGGGCGACGGCGATAGCAACAGCGGAGTCCAGGCCTGTGCCCGGGTGGAAGAGGGTCCCGAGGGACCTGTCCGTGGATTCCAAGGGAAATCGAAGAAGGCTTGGGATCCAGGAGGGGGCCAGAAGTTTCAGGGAGTCAGTCCACCTGCTCGGAGGAGCAGAGGAGAGGCTGTCCCTCCAGAACGAGAGGGGAAGTGCAGAGGGGAAGTGCCGCACCGCCTGTCCAAGAAGACAAGGCCAGTCACGGTCGCCTACCGCTCATGCTAGGCAGGCCACCCAGCCATGAGGTGAAACGGGGAGAGCAAGACAGCTTCCCTGTCAGAGACACGTGTGGGAGCCAAGAGCTCCAGGGTCATGGAACCTGCCCAAGCAAGCAGAAACGGGTTTGGAGAGAGAACCCGTCACCACACGGATCTCCGAGGAGTGTCTCCCTGACGGACTGGGAAGTGACCTGCGTCCCAGACATTCAGCCAGACCGAGAAGCCTGTAGGCCTCCCAGAAACAGGGGAGACAGAGCAAGAGGGAGGACAGAGCAGAGGCCGGAACAGAGCAGAGGCCGGAGCTCAGGCCGACACTGCCCGGTGCTACCGCCGCGGGCCTAAGGGGAGGGTTGCCCAACGGCGCCTTGTCCGGAGGCCAGCCTCCAGGGACCGGGAGGCCTGACACCTCCCCTTCCCGGCTTCCTTCATGCTTCTGCTTGGTGCGCTTCATTTCTGGGGTAGAGAAGAGCCAGTGAAAGGTACCAGCGTCTCCTCTGAGGGGTGGGTCTGCTCCTCTCCCTGCAGGGCGATTTGTGCTCCTCTGGGGCTTTTGTCCCCAGCTGACCGCAGCTTATCTTGATCCCAGGAGAGAGTCCGCCAAGGGCGTAATGAGATTTCACTGCTGCTGGGGAAGATGCATCTCCTCACGCGGTCGAGGCCCTCAGGGACCAAGTGGAACGGCGCTAACCACTGACGAGCCCGCCGCAAGACTCCAGGACAGAGGCGAAGAAAGAGGCGCGGCAGAGCCAGGCCGAGGCGCAAGAAGTCGCTTTTGACGTACCGGGCGCATTCATCCAACGGCGTGGTGCCACGCACACGGGCACGCACACACAAACTGCAGAAAGAGGGAAAGACACAGAGAGTCAGGACACAGAGAGACAAGAGAGAATGGGAGAGACGAGACACACACAGTCGGAAGCAGGGCAGCGGCGCACAGAAACGCAGCTCCCCGTGAGGCACACAGCCTCTGAGGCTGCAGGGCTTCTGCTCCGGGGTGAAGACCCCCGGGAGAGAGCAGCCCACGGACAGGGCGGGCGGATCTGTCGTGAGATCACGTGGGGCAGATCTTTGGGGAGACTCACCCCAACACCGTCCGGGCAGGCCTGAGGCTGGGATCACGCGCCGCTTTCCCGGGACTCCGCCTGCGGTCACTGCCTGGCCGCTAAGTGACTCCCGGCGTCCGTCCGGAGACGTTCCTGTCGACTCCCGGTGGAGAGGTGTGAGGCAGGGGCCGCAGCTCCCGACACCCGAGCACCGCCACGGAGGGCTCCTGCTTTGCCAAGCCTCAGGGGGCCGGTTTCTAAGACAACCGTGGGAACCGCTGTGACGCAAGAGGCCACACAGACATGCGCACTGATCACGCGCAGGGCCCACTCAAGGCCCCCAGCTGGAAGTCAGGCCGCGGCCCTTTAAACAACCAGATCCGGCGGCCGCGCGGCGCCGGGGCCGGGGAAGGGGTGGGAGGGGGCGTGCGGTGGGGCAGGGGGCAGCGGGGTGGGGGGTAGGGGGAGGGTGGCGGGCCGCTGGGGCGGCTGCAGCCCCGGCGGCCTCCCGATCCGGCCTCCAGCAGGGGGCGGGGAGAAGGCGCCACGTGGCATCCCAGTACTCAAGACCCCGGAGTCCTCTCTTCAGGACCTCCTTGAGCCGACTTCCACCCGTGGAGGGGGAGCTTCAGGGCCTCTGCTGGGGTCTCAGGACTCCTCTTGAGATGGGATTTTGGACTTCTCTGGGTGAGAGAGGATGGGCTCTCCATCATGGGCTGGGCGCAGGCGGGGCCTCGCTGCAGCACAGAATCATCCCCTGGGCCTTAAGGTGTGGTGCCAGCTGAAAATTCCTGACCCACGAGCCCCTCGCCTCCCTCCTCCTTCTGAAAGAGCAGCGGTCTAGCCCCGCCTTGCAAAATCCCCGGGGCTCCTGCAAGCTGCCTCTGCTTTCCAGGACACAAGCAGCTCCGCGGAGCTAATGGCCCCAGGCGTGGCACTGGCCGACCCCGAGCAGACGACGTGAATGCGCTTCCAGCTCCGGGCGACGGGGCGCGACGTGCGAGTAGCAATAGCGGAGTCCAGGCCAGCCTGCGGAAGAGGGTCCCGAGGATCTGTCCGTGGATTCCAAGGGAAATCGAAGAAGGCTTGGGATCCAGGAGGGGGCCAGAAGTTTCAGGGAGTCAGTCCACCTGCTCGGAGGAGCAGAGGAGAGGCTGTCCCTCCAGAACGAGAGGGGAAGTGCAGAGGGAAGTGGTCGCACCGCCTGTCCAAGAAGACAAGGCCAGTCACGGTCGCCTACCGCTCATGCTAGGCAGGCCACCCAGCCATGAGGTGAAACGGGAGAGCAAGACAGCTTCCTGTCGGAGACACGGGGAGCCAAGAGCTCCAGGTCATGGAACCTGCCCAAGCAAGCAGAAACGGGCTTGGGAGAGAGAACCCGTCACCACACGGATCTCCGAGGAGTGTCTCCCTGACGGACTGGGAAGTGACTCGCGCCCCAGACATTCAGCCAGACCGAGAAGCCTGTAGGCCTCCGAGAGACAGAGACAGAGCAAGAGGAGGGACAGAGCAGAGGCCGGAGCCCACGTGACTGCCCGGTGCCACTCGGCCTATGAGGGTTGCCCAACGGCCGCCTTGTCTCGGGAGAGGCCAGCTGCTCCAGGGACCGGGAGGCCTGACACCTCCCCTTCCCGGCTTCCTCTTCAAGCTTCTGCCGTGGTGCGGTTTCATTTCAGAGAAGAGCCGGAAAAGGTACTCAGCGTCTCCTCTGAGGCGGGTCTGCTCCTCTCCTGCAGGGCGACGAGCTCCTCTGGGGCTTTTGTCCCTGGCTGGACCGTGCTATCTTGATCCCAGGAGAGAGTCCGCTCGGCAAGGGTAATGAGATTTCACTGTTGCTGGGAAGATGCATCCTCACGCGGTCGAGGCTCCTCAGGACCCCAAGTGAACGGGCGTACAAAACCACTGACGCAGCCCGCAAGACCCAGGCACAGAGGCAGAAGAAAGAGGCGCGGGCAGAGCCAGGCCGAGGCGCAAGAAGTCGCCTCAGCGCACCGGGCGCATTCGGTTCGAACGGCGCAGCTACTTACACGGGCACGCACACACAAACTGCAGAAAGAGGGAAAGACACACAGAGAGTCAGGGCCAGAGAGACAAGAGAGAATGGGAGAGACGCAGACACACACAGCCACAGGCAGCATGCACAGAAACGCAGCCTCGCAGGCACACAGCCCCTGAGGCTGCAGGCTTCTGCTCCGGGGTGAAGACCCCCTCGGGGAGAGAGCAGCCCACGGACAGGCGTGGGCGGACCTGTCGTGAGATCACGGGGCAAGACTTTGGGGAGACTCCACCTCAACACCGTCCGGGCAGGCTCGAGGCTGGGACGACGCGCCGTCTCTCGGACTCCGCCTGCGGTTTGGTCATCCTGGCCGGGCAAGTGCTGGCACTCCCGGCGTCCGTCCGGAGACGTTCCCGCTGACCCCGTGAGGTGAGGCAGGGAGCCTCGTGCAGCCCCGACACCAGCACCGCCACGAGGGCTCCTGCTTTGCCAAGCCTCAGGGGGCCGGTTTCTAAGACAACCGTGGGAACCTCTGTGACGCGAGAGGCCGCCGCGCCGAGCATGCACTGGCCCTGCCGCCGGCCCACTCGCGCTCCCAGCTGAAGTCAGGCCGCGGCCTTTAAACAACTGAGGTCATGCGGGGCGCCGGGCCGGGAAGGTGGGAGGGGGCGTGTGCGCGGTGGGGCAGGGGCAGCGGGGTGGGGGGTGGGGGAGGGGTGGTGGCCGCTGGGCGGCGCTGTAGCCGGCGGCCGCCCGATCCGGGCTCCAGCAGGGGGCGGCGTGGGAGAAGGCGCCGCGGGCATCCCAGTACCAAGACCCCCGGAGTCCTGTCTTCAGGACCTCCTTGAGCCGACTTCCACCCGTGGAGGGGGAGCTTCAGGGCCTCTGCTGGGGTCTCAGGACTCTCTTGAGATAGGATTTTGACCTCCTCCGGGTGAGAGATGGGCTCTTCCATCATGGGCTGGAGGCAGGCGGGCCTCGCTGCAGCACAGAATCATCCGGGCCTTAAGGCGTGGTGCCAGCCGAAAATTTCCTGACCCACGAGCCTCGGCCTCCCTCCCCTCTCCGAGAGCAGCGGCCTAGCTCCCGCCTTGCAAATCCCCGGGGCTCCTGCAAGCTGCCTCTGCTTTCCAGGACACGCGCAGGCCCCGGCGGAGCCAATGGCTCCAGGCGTGGCACTGGCCGATCCCCCAGCAGACTCCACGTGGAATGCGCTTCAGCCCGGGCGTACGGGGCGACGGCGAAACCAACAGCGGAGTCCAGGCCTGTGCCCGGTGGAAGAGGGTCCCGACTCCTGTCCGTGGATTCCAAGGGAATCAAGAAGGCTTGGGATCCAGGAGGGGGCCAGAAGTTTCAGGGAGTCAGTCCACCTGCTCGGAGGAGCAGAGGACAGGCTGTCCCTCCAGAACAAGAGGGGAAGTGCAGAGGGGAAGTGCCGCACCGCCTGTCCA